TGCTTAATCAGAATTATGTAAGCTCAATAAATTAAAATGAAAAATATGTTGGTTCCTTATTCATACCCTATATAGTCCTCATAAATCCTCTTCAGTTGACTTTGTCTGTCAGACAGGCCTTTGAGTAGGCCGACTGAAGACACAGAGGTCGTCCTGGTCATCATAAAGATAATGCAGAATGCATAAACTACATAAACATTTAACATTGTTGTTTTATTGCATGTTAACTCAAAATAAAGCACTGTCTAAAGCAAATATAAGTAAATAATTGCACATTCTGTAGGCTTATGCCGTCTATGGATGTAGAGGATTATCCGGATGACGTGCAGGCTGGATCACTACCATTATAAATATTCTCCATTATTGGAATTAAGCTTTGCCCTCTGGATACTTAAAGTGTTACGTGGAAACGTTAGCTGCCATGGAAAAGAAAATGAGAAACAGTTCTGACTGAACATTCTGGTGGCTGTGCGCTCACTAGAGTGATACTGATTGTGCAACGAGTTTTTATCAACAAGTAACAATTTTGTTAAGAGCAACTTTAACTGTAGTTTCCAATAGTTACTTGTTTACTCCATTCTGTGACAAAAGTTTTTTTGTAGCTCTTGTCAGCTAGCAGCTAGTTTGGTGTTTTTTAAAGGAAGTGTTGATTTCTTCCCTTAAAAAAGAATACTTGGACATGTATGTAAATTGTAGTTCAAGTCAGTAAATTATTCCAAGTGGTGAAAAGTTTTCTAGCCAAGCCCAGTCGATTGCATTGAATCTCTCCTGCTGAATAAGCGTGTGGCGACGGTGGATTTACTGAAGTCGTTGCATTTGCAGCCATGACTCACATGTCATTGGTAGAAGGGTAAGCCTCCATTTTAACAGGAAAACATGGCAAATGTAATTAAAAAAAAGAGTTAATGTCAGCAACAACTACAGATAATACATGAATGTGGAATAGGAGGAGAAAGGAGGAAACTGGATAATGATAATCAGTTTGTCCTCCAGTAGCCTAAACCTATAGCAGCTTAATAAGTACATAAGTCACTCTACAAACTTTACTAAAAGTAAATCTTTTAAGCCTACTCTTAAAAGTATACAGGATGTCTGCTGGAGCTAATAACGAAAGGATCTGCCTCCAATTCTACTGTTAGAAACTCTACTGGTAAACCTGCAGCCTGAGAGGAAAGTACTTAGTTGGGGAATTTGTGGAAGAATAAGATCTCTACTATATGATGGGGCTTGAGAATTAATGTCTTTATATGAAAGGAAATGTAAATGGTGTTCTGGATTTAACAGGGAGCCAAACAGGAGAAGCTAAAACTGGAGAAATATGCTCTCTCCTTCCACAATGGGGGAACACAGAAATTCTCAGTAACAAATGTAGTTTACAGTGTAAATGAATATTATACATAAGCCAACAGGCTCAAGTGAAAATACAGGTTTGAGTACAAAACAATAAGCCTTTATTACTGTTGAGCAAGAATCGATTATTAATTTCCACCCGTTTTCAATGCAGTAGTTGCATAAACTCTTTTCTGTTTCCATTCTCAGAGCAGCCCTGAGCTTCAACCTCTGCGAGAAATGATTATGTATTTATACAAAGTGAAGACCGTCACTACATCACCTGCCTTAGCTAGATTAGTACCTGCTCATAACCTTTCAGCAGATTAACACTCAAAAAAATGAGCAATCCCTTTAAGAGCTGTTCAGACAAAGCAGTGACAGCAGGCTGCATGAGCCAGTAGGTAAACCAATCCCTGCCCGGCTTGTAGTACCAGAGGTTTGGCTGTAATCTAGTGTTTGTACAGTAAACGCTGTTTAGCCTCTGAACATGTGAGCGGTCATGTGCATGTGTGTGTCTGAGTTTGTGTTGTTACCAAAAGAGGACCTTTCAAAGCATAATTAATGACCTTGTTTGGTCTATTAGCCTTATGGGGGCCAGAGCACCACATCATTTCTAAAGTTCTTGTAAGGGGCAGCGTCAACGTCGGGGTAGTGTTAGGGGGCACACAAAGCCCTCAATGTCTTCCTAATATTTTATGGTGCAGTCTTGTATTTGTTTGTCTAAATGCCGACCGCCTCAGTTTCAGTAATTCCAAGAAAACATTTGGCTCATCATGTCTGCAGTTTTGCCCTGGAGACAATTGGATGTTTTTTCGCTTTATTTTGCTTGAAGTTCGGCAGACCACATGGCTGCTGCTCAGACCCACTCTCCAGGAACTTTTAGGGTGGGGAATCAACTCGGGCTTTGTGCTGATTTTATTAACCCTGGTTCCATGGAAGAAGGCCTCCTCACTGTAAATGGAGTGAGAAAAAAACACCAGTAATACCAGTAAACTTCCCAACAATAAAGTCGTCATTAGTGTCACTTTCCTGTGATGTCCAGGACTACAGATCGCCATAGATACAGATAAAAAATTTTATTTTTATTTTTTACAGTTTTAGATAATTTGCTCACAGCATGAACATCTGGTCACGTGCAACTAATCAACCTCACAATGCAAGTGACCAATATGCCAAGTCATATTGGTCACTTGGTTTCCCAATCATCTATTTTTACATCGTTCTTTCTTTGAGCTTGGGGGCAACTCTCTGTTTTTGTGTGTACGCGTGTGTGTGCATGTGTGTGTGTCTCTTCCTTTCTTTTTTTACAACATACCTTTTGTGCTGTGCTTCTAGCTGCTTCCTAGAAGAACTAGTTGCCACAGGAGTCGTCACATGCATTTCCACTTTTCAGTTCTGTGAATCGAAGTTCTGTGAAACAAGTAAATGGCTTTCTGTTAGTGTACTAAAAGGCATGGAGAAGAAATGTTGTGCCTTTGACTTAGTCAAAAGCAACAATGGTTCTGAAAAACAACAACTGGGCCATAGAGTTAGCTATTTCTCCATGTGTCCTGTTTCACTTACTGTAGGATGTTTTTTGGTTACTCCTTTTGTTTTTACTTTCTGTTTAAGAGTAATAAACTTCACTGAATCAGATTATTTTAACTCAACACTGAAGTGCTTGTTTAAGTATGGAACGTGTCCATAAATTTAGTAAATGCAGTTCTAATGTTGCAGTGAGAACTTTTGGGCCCAATCAGGAAATCTTCACAAGAGGAGTTAGACTTGTACAAAAGCCAAGGACTTATTGATGAGAGATTCAGTTTTCTGCAGAAGGTTTGGGCAAGAAAATGAAATAGTGGAAGACTATGCCTACACTGAGATAGATGTCAACTCAAATCATCTTTTTTCTGTTTGTTTTCTCATATTTGACCTATATGCGACGTTTACGGCAGTCAGTCTGAACGGCCCCATTCCAATCTTCTCACCTCCCAAAAATCCGACTTGAGCCACTTTTGTATACGGTACCAAATCAGATACATATTTGATAGTTTTCAAAGCATCTGCAGTTTGATGTTTATGTCACGGATGTGAGACATGGGTCGTAATTCTGCACCAGAAGAAGGCAGACACAGAAAATCCAGACTTAGAAGATGTTTGAAAATTATAATTTTGAACTTATGAAAGAAGTCTGTCAGTGAAGCACATCACAGTCCCACCACAGCCTAACAGACTTCTCTACAGGAGTTGCAGTCACCGCTCCACCAAAGGCCATCGCTTTAAGTTTAGCTTCCTTCATGTTATGATTTGTGATGTTAAAGTTGGCTCTCATTACTGAATAACTTTAAAACTGATCCATTGACGGCTCTTTCCATTATTACTGTCAGAAAAATTTGTATACCAGTTACACATACGTCTGACTGCAGGGCGTTATATTAGTTGTATGAACCGACCACACACAGAAAAAAATTAGATTTCAGCAAATTTATTCAGCGATTTATGTTTTCGCATCCACCTGAATAATGTGTAGTTGCGCCACTGCATTTGAAGGACGTCCAGTAACACAGGAGAAACTCTATATCGATTTTTAAGATGACAACCGCAAATGATTTTCTCCACTAGAGGTGAAAATTCAAAAGCTAAAGAGTTTTTAATCGACAGTGTTTCGTTTGGAAATACAAAATCGGGTTTGTATATCCAGAGTAGATGTATGTAAAATGTTGTTGACCTTTGCCCTCTCTCCTCTTTTCAGTGTTTTAACATTTCCAGGCTAATATTGTAAATAGGAAGTCGCTCTTAATGTTTTGCCTGGTGAAATAAAGGTTTAACTAACAAAACTATAACCTTTTTGGTCCTGGAGAATGCCCAGAATTAAACTTTAAACTAGACTTTATTATCCTCTTCCCAGCTTGTCTTGATTGCTAAATTCTAGACAAGTTTTATCAAACAGCATACTAAAAAAAAAAATAAACAATTGGCAAAATTGTTTTGCCAATTTTGTTGGTTGGCAAAACAAACAAAAATGGTTCAAATTACAGGATGGGGAACCAGGACAGGCAAACACAAACTCACCTTTGAGTTTTTTAAAGTGGCCTGTTCATGTTTCTGGGCAGTGGATAGAAAGTTAAAGTGCTAGAAAAAAAAAATCTCACACACACACACACACACACACACACACGCACACATGCATGCATGAGAATCACATGAAAAGGCCTCAAGCCCTTCATTCCACCGAGATATTTTGCCAAATAAATAATTTTGGCTGTGTTGCACCACTCATCCAAATGATAACATTCTTGGTGTGGGAAACAAAACCAGCTTTCTCCCATATTTTCCAGAGATTTCACTGCATCTTTGGGGATATAATAGTAAAACATCCTACTTAAAGCAAGTGTGTGTGTGTGTGTGTGTGCTTATTTTTTAATGTGTTGTTAAGGTGCTTCATATTTTCAACGTTTTTATCCAATGATTAAAAAAACACAAATAAAAATGTATAAAACTGTTCACTGTAATTTTGTGACACTCAGAATGCCCCTTCCTGTTGTTACCACTAAATTAAAAATCTAGTTTTTTCACTTATTTTTTTGCCTGGACCCTTCCTCTTCCCGTCCCACCCATCATTGTTCTCTCACTTGTATTTCACCTTTCTTTCCTCTTCTACTGTTTTTTTCACCCCCCTCTCCCTCCAGTGACCGGAAAACCGTTTTTTGTGGTCTCCAGTTTCTCCCACCGCTGGCTGTTCGGCTGGGAAGGCTGTCAGTTCTACGGCTGGGCAGGCTTCTTCTTTGGCTGTGGGAGCCTCATCACCATGACAGTGGTGAGCCTGGACCGCTACCTGAAGATCTGCCACCTCCGATACGGTGAGTCTGCTAACAGTAGCTAACACTTTCTGACAGCACAGCACAGGAAAAAATGGCAATGGGAGTAGTAATCATCCGTCTGGTTCTTTGCTTTGCAGCAGATGACAAAGTCTTCACTTCTAGTCCTTGAGTGTCCATGTTCCACATTTTAGATGTTTTCCTTGAACTCACTGAATCAAACGGATGAATTACCTCTTCAGTAGGCAGCTGAGTTCTTCAATCTTGCTAGTGAGCTGATAAATTAGTTCAGGTGTGTTGAAGCATCTAAAAGTAGCAGGAAACCAGCCATTGAGGGCTGTAGTGCCCCCAAGTGGTCATTACAGTCAAATTAATCAGGATATATGGCAGGGGTCTTCAAAAAATAAATAACAGGAGATGTTGATTTTATAGCTGAAGTAGCACATGCTGTCCAAACATAATTAAAGTTGTACACCGTGATCCCAGAACACATGCAGTTTTCAGAACAGAAGCATATTACAAGTGACATGCACTTCAAAGACATGACAGGGCCTTGATGTTCTGCAAAATCCTCTTGAAGTTCTTGCATTTACTCAATGCAACATGTGTTTGTCAATGTGACAGCATTCAAAGAAAGATAGGAAATCATGTGAAAGCAGATTTTCCCTGGATTTACACTACGTGCGGCTCCGCTGCAATGCAAACTGTAGAAGTACTCCATGAGAGATCTCACGATCATGTCAGTGATTAAAAAAATAAAAAATACTGCAGGTCTCAACTCCCAAAATTAATATTTTTCCCTCCAATACTCTCCTGACTTTGTCTGCTTGGACCGTCGCTCCTACAAGATAATTCAACTTAACAGGTTTCAGAATTAAATCCACGTATTTTGTATGTACGCACAGCCATAAATGATATATGCTGAAGCACCCATATTTTCCTTAACATATCCAGTATTGCAAACAAATTAGTCTGTGTTCGTGAATAATTTTGGTGTTTGTTCATTTTCCTGTTAGAGTGCCGTGATTGTTGAAGATTTCGACGTCCGGCAAAAATAGGGCCAGTTTTAATTTTGGCGGATGTTGATGTGGCGCTGTGGAGGTAGAATAAACACCCTTACTGACTGAAATGGGCGTGTATTTACTGTGGAGGCCACAGCTTGGCGAAGTGGAGATGCAAACAGCGTATATTGGGGGTTAGTCCGGTGTTAATGACAGAAAATGACTTAAGTGTCCAATTAGTGTTTGGTCTTTGGCCAAATGATGACTGAATTAAAGTGAAACATGAACTGTGTTGCTCACTCCAACAGTGTCAAAGCTTGTCTCTTTTTTAGAATTAAAATTAATATTTTTTATAATTTTTATGACACTGAAAGATGGGTTTGGAGGAAAATGTAGGTTTGTTTGTAATAAACTTTTTTCTAATGTAGATTATATGTTTCTTACTCATCTTAGGCACATGGTTAAAACGCCACCACACCTTCATTTGCTTGGCCTTTGTCTGGATGTATGCAGCCTTCTGGGCCACCATGCCACTGGTTGGCTGGGGCCACTACGCCCCGGAGCCGTTTGGGACCTCATGCACCCTGGACTGGTGGCTCGCTCAAGCCTCTGTGTCGGGCCAAAGCTTCGTCTTGGCCATCCTCTTCTTCTGCCTCGTCCTCCCAGCAGGCATCATCGTCTTCTCCTATGTCATGATCATTTTTAAAGTGAAGTCATCATCGAAGGAAATCTCACACTATGATGCCCGCATACGAAACAACCACAACCTGGAGATGAAACTCACAAAGGTCAGTTATGTCCGAGGTTATTATAGTCCACTAAAAAAAAGCAAAATACACATTGAAGTTACAAAAAACATATTTGTTAACTGAAATGAATAAAAACAATTAATGGTGGAAAAAGTATTACTAAATGGAATTACATTGTTCATTTATAAAACTAACTAAAACACTGAAATGATAAATATAATATCACTTGATTTTTGTGTTTATAGAATAGAATAGAATATTCTTTATTGGTCCCCAAGGGGAAATTGCTTATTTGTTGAAAGCTACTCCATCTTAGGTAATAAATACAGTTTGTAAAAAAAGAAAAGAATATATATATATATATATATATATATATATATATATATATATATATATTCTATATTATATATGTGTTATTAGTATTATTAGCCTTTTGAATTTATGCTAAATTGATTTTTTTCCCCACATAAGCAGTTTTCATCAGCTGTTGATAAATTATGTTACTCCATATCTTCCTGGTAGCCACAAAACGGTGACAGCAGAAGAAGGAGAAAACATCAGAATCAGCTGCTGGTCAACAATAATTAAATACATTTTTTGAAAATGGAATCTTTTGTTGATTACTTGTTACACAATCAAGGCATACATCAGCACAATATAATACTTTGACCTTTTTGAATTCTGTGCCCGAAGATATAGCAAAGGTAAACTAATAGACATTAGCAAATGCATTCTAAAACTAATTAAAACTAAGTGAATTAGACAAACAAAAAGTCACATCGAAATTAAACTAAACCATAATGAAAAACCCAAAACTATTCCAACCCTGATTATATCAAAAGGAAACGTGTGAATATGACCAAAATTGGGATTACGAGAACAAAGCAGGATGAAAAAACTTTCAGAATTGCTCTTGCTTAAAAAAAAACTTAAAAACCTCAGAATATTGTTTTCTTCTCTCTGCTAGGTGGCGATGCTGATCTGCGCTGGCTTCTTGATTGCCTGGATTCCGTACGCCGTGGTCTCTGTGGTGTCGGCGTTCGGCGAGCCGGACTCCGTCCCCATCCCTGTGTCTGTCGTTCCCACGTTGCTAGCCAAGTCGTCAGCGATGTACAATCCAATCATCTACCAGCTGGTGGATCTGAAAAACTCCTGCTCCAACTGCTGCATCAAGGTCATGAAGAAACCGAATCATTTTAGGAAGTCGAGGTAAAACAAGTTTATTACTGTGTGGTGATGATCTGGATCTGTTGGTTTTCACTTCCTTAGTACTGTAGAGACTCTTAAGAAAAATATTTAGGGTTGTATAATTTTTTTCTTTCTTACTTTGAAACATTTTTTATGTAAGATGGGTTTTATTCCCATTATCGTACTAAACAGACAGTCAGCTCTGCTGTCTGCACTAAAATTTCTTTTAAGAGAACGAGTTTAAAGTTTTATCTTTCGGTGTTCCTTTCACAATTTCAAAAGTTGCAAGTCGTTACTAAAACTTCCAGGAATTCCTTCATTAAGGAAGCTTTAACAATTTTTGTCAGCTTAAAAAAAATTAACCAAGATGATGCTGAAAATATTGATAATGTAGGAGGAAACAGGAGATGCAGATCTTCACGTCTGTCTGCAGACTGTTGGCAGAATGTCCATTGGAAACTGGTGACCTTGACCTCGCGCTGGACGCCTTCACTTCCTATTGCACAACAGCGTCAGCTCTCAGTGTTCCTCCACTATTTCACATAACTAAAATTAGAGCTGGTTGGATTTCATCTCGTCCCAATATTTAATGTTCTTCTATGTTGATGAAAATGTGATTTTCATCATGGTGATCGTTTTTCTATCAGTTTTTTTCCAGTTTTTTCTTGGTTGTGTTTCATTTTATTAAGTTAATAATGCTTTTGAAAGATAATGTAAACT